AGCCCCGAAGAAGAAGAAGAAGAAAGAATATCAACAAAGGAAGATGAAAACGACATAATTGAAACAGTGGTTTTTAGGGAAGAGATTAATGAAAAAGAGGATGAAGAATGGACGATAAATATGTGTCAAGAATCTGAGGAAAGAGAAATTAAATTGATGTGTGGAGAAGAAAGAGAAAATGAGTTGCGTTTGATATTAAAAAAATACGAAACGTTGATAAATGAGGAAAACAGAGTGGCCAGAAAGTACGAACATTCATTTGAGGTAAAAAACTTGGGAAATTTTCGATCGAAAACGTACCCGATTCCATATAAGTATCGACAACAGGTGAAAGAAGAAATTAATAAAATGTTGGAAGATCAAATAATTGAACGATGTGATTCACCGTATATTAATCCAATTGTAATAGTAAAGAAAAGCAGTGGAGAATTGAGACTATGTTTAGATGCCAGAAATATCAACCAGCACACGGTATCACAATATGAATCACCTCTAAACATCGAGGCCATATTTGGAAGAATTACAGGGTCACACATATTTTCTAAAATTGATTTAAAGCATAGTTTTTGGTTGATACCTTTAGCTGAAAAATGTAGAAACTACACCGCTTTCTCAATTGATGGTATTGTCTACAGATTCAAGGTAGTGCCTTTTGGTTTACAAAGCGCTTGTGCAGCACTGGTACGGGCTTTACATTCGATTTTAAATCGATACGAAGATTTCATAGTCCATAACATCGACGATGGGATCGGAAAGTGTCCGAAGTAGAAATGTATTTAAATACCATCCCAAGCACCGTAACGAAAGAAACCCCAGAATATATAATGAAAGGGATAATGCCGATAAGGCCATGGGAAGATATAAAACAAAAGGAATACACACAGATAATGGAAGATGTGCAAAGGAGATTGCGGAGAGCAAACGAAAAATATATCCAGAGACAAGATCAAAATAGGAAAAGAAGACCAGTTACTTTCCAAAAAAGGTGAGAAGGTTATGGTGAGAGCATTGCGAGTGTCCAACATCCCTGGCAATGTATGCGCAAAGTTAATGCCTGTTTTTGAGGGTCCTTACGTAATAAACAATGATAATGGTATAAATAGTTATGTTTTGAAGCATTTGGATTCAGACAAGATTAGGGGAATATATAATATCAACGATGTTTATAAATATTATGAATAAGAGACAAAGAATGTTTGCATAAGAGAAAAATCCCTACATAATTCAGTAATTTTTATCATATGCAAAGGCGGGGATTTATTATACTTCTTCTTCCACAAACGCGGAAGGAACAAAAATAATTAAGGAATCCATCGGAAGTAAGTTTTTAAGAAATCTGAAGACAAAATATGTATTAATTTTAAGATAGAAAGTTTGTATATTTGTAAATAGATAGATTAGTACCGAAATTTTATGACTTATAAAGAACTAAGCCATTCTAAACGAGTTATTGACAAACCATTTGTACATTATAGAAAATAAGCTGTTACCTGAAGGATTAGTCCGGTATTGTGTTGTATAAATCTTCTATTATGACTAAGGAAAAAATCTTTGAAATGTATAAAAATTATTTGTTTAGAAGGAAATGACCATTGTTAAAAGATTAAAGTTCCTTGCTTGAAAACGGTAATTAGCATTCCAACAAGTGTGGTAAACAAATTTGGATTTTGTGATGAGACGATCTTTTTGGAAGGGGAAATCGACGGACCGAGGGTTGATAGAGTTTTTGTTGGTTCGAGAGGACAGTGATGTTTGAGTGATCGAAAAGAAAGGTTGCGTCTCGACAGGCGGTGTGTTCGTGAGTTGGAGGCCGGCATTGTTAAGTGGAGAAAGTTACCAGTTTTGTTAGCAGAATTGTGGAAGAAGTAGAGTGCAAGTCGATGTAAAGAAATCCTTGAATCTAAAGTGTGCAGTTTCTGGAATACGTGTTAAATAGTTGTGGCACCAGGTGAGAAAAGAGATCCTTGGGTCACGAAGAAGTTATATGAATGTTTGAAGAAGTGATTTTCGTGTGTTAAGTGTTGGAGAATTGAGTCAGGAGGTTAAATTAAGTCAGTTAAATTGGCTGAAGGAGCAGATACTGAAACAAGAAGCCGAGGCGCAAGGTGGAAGAACACATTGCTGTGGAAGGTGGACAATTCTTTGTGTGGTCCTAAAACAATCCAGGGAAGAAAGGTTAGATATTTCCTTTTTTTCAAGTGAAAGGTGTGTAAATCTTAAATGCGATTTGTTTACCTCATTGTTGTTACCAGTTTAAAGCATGATTAGACCTTTTTACATTTATCAAATGTTTTAAAGTTTTGTTTCCATAATAAAATAGATTTTTTAAATATAAGGAAGATAAAAGTTTATAAAGGTATCCAAATTTAAATTAGTTTCAAATTGTTTTGTCTCAAGAAGAAAATAAGAATTAAAATTTTCTTTTTGTATTAATTTCATTACATGCCTATTCGCTGATTGAAAAGATAACGGCAAATTTAATAATTGTTTTTTTTTATAAAATAAAAAATATCTGTATTTTATGTATTATACTTTTTATTATTATCCTTTGTTTTTCCTATCCCGATAAATACAACTAGAAAACTTTGAACTCACTGAACATAAGAAATATCAGAAGTTTATTTTTTAGGACATTGATAACGAGAAAGTATAATTTTGTGATTGTTTCAAGTAAATAAATTAAAATCAAAAATACAAAATCATAACAATATATATATATATATATATATATAATATATATATATATATACATATATATATATATATATATATAATATATATATATATATATATATATATAAAACCATGTAAAATAACAGAATATAATGTAACGCAATTGTTGACTGATGCAAATTTGTGACAAACCATTTAGTCTTGTGTCACCTTATTTTTTTTTCACTCTTGGTTCAATCTAAATATCATATTCACCTATTTAGGTATCAATTACCAAAGATTTTTATTAAAAGCACTCAGCTTTGAATTTATTTTATAATCATCATCATCAATTAGCCTATATTTGTCCACTGCTGAACGTAGGCCTTCCGTCAAATTTTCCACTTATTCCTATTTTGAGCTTCTTGCATCCAGTTTGTGGTGATGCACTTGATATCATCCGTCCATCTAGTCGGTGGTCGTCCTCTGCTTCGATATGCATCTTGCCTTGGTCGCCATTTCATAATCTTTAATCCATCTATCATCCGTTAATCTGGCAACATATCCGGCCCAAGCCCATTTAGACATGGCTATTTTTTCAACTGCATCTGTGATTCCTGTTCTTCTTCTTATTTCTAGGTTTGGTACTTTATCTCTGATGGTAATACCTAATATTGATCTTTCCATAGCGCGTTGTGTTACTCTTATTTTATCTATTGTTCTTTTTGTGAGAGTCAGTGTTTCTGCACCATATGTAAGAACCGGTAAAACGCACTAGTTTAAAACCTTTCTTCTTAAATAAACTGGGATACTAGACTTGAAAATGTTATTCAATCTACCAAAGGCAGCCTATGTGAGACCTATCTTTCTTTGTATTTCAGTAGTCTGATTATCTCGGCCTAAGCGAGTCTCATGGCCTAGATATTTGTAAGGTATTACTGGGTCGATGCTATGGCTCTTAATCAGAATTTTACCGCTGACTACAAGGTTGGTCATAAATTTTGTCTTTGAGGTGTTTTTGACACTTTCTATAGCGTGTGCAGCATTTTTGTAGCTTTATCAACTCTATCCGATATTAAAACGACGTCATCGGCAAATCTTAGATGGTTCAGATCTTCCCCATTTATATTAATTCCCATATTATGCTCTCGTTCCATTTGCTTGAACATATATTCAAGAACAGCTGTAAACAATTTAGGGGAGATAGTATCACCCTGTATAATTCCACGTTCTATTCGAAATTTTTTGGTATCTTCATGAAGGCGGACACAAGCTATACCAGTTTCGTAAATACTTTTAATTAAGGCGATATATCGGTAGTCAATGCAACAGTCAGCAATGCTCGCAGCATTTTATAGTGATCTATAGTATCGAACGCCTTTTCATAATCTACGAATATAAGATAGGCTTGTTATACTCTGTACACTTTTCTATTTTTTATCTTTTATTTTATAAATAACCTTGCAAATATACGACTACTAATTACTAACCAACTCAAGAATCTACATTAGAATATAACCCCAAATAAAATAAATGGTTTGCGCAAGCGTGGCTAACGTACAGTCAGGAATGTACCGAATTCGCTTCAATCGTCAAGAGATCTAAGTTATGTCTACAAACGTTATATAAAAATTAAAATACGGTTTGCATCAAGTTATCCTCCCTCGGCGTTAGGGGGTTAATGCGATTCTAATCAGTGACAGATTAACATAAGCGTAGAGATAAATTAAATTCCTCATAGCCTGTACTTGGGATTTTGACCATTCGGCGAAACTAATACCTTACTTTAGCGACACTCCCAAACCAGTTGCAAATTAATGGTACTCTAATAAGTTTGTCATAGTAGTACTTGAGATTGGAAAGAGTTTGTGTATTGACAGAAATAATAACGAGTCGTGTTTAATATAGATATAAGTAAATCAATTAATATTTAATTTGCACGCTTGTTTTACTGCTAAAAAAGCCCTTTGCGGCCAATTTAGTCCCTACATAAAGATGTGTCTAATACATTGTGTATTAGTGGGACAAAACTCAAATCAGTTTTGAAAAACAGAAAAAGTGTAAATAGTGAAGTAGAGGTCGAACAATATCAACCTAGACTAAACCCTAAGACTAAAGGTCTTTCTGAAGGTTGTAAATTTGAAATTAGAGACATTATACTTAAAATGCCTGAAAGGAAAAACATGTTTCTGTAAAGAGTTTCAATAACAGAAAATGATTTAATATGATGAGGAATTAATAGATCATCTGAAATAGCATTTATTTTTATGGCCTGTCACACACGGAATTATATTCTGTTTTAGATCTTTAATTTTTTAACGTTTTTTGACCAACTTTTTTAATTTTAGGGAAGTCTCTTCGAATTATATCCACCATATTTTATTAATAGGCGTAAAGCAGAAGGTGTTATTAAGGAATTTGGCTCTCTTCTTAAAGTAAGTAGAGTTATATTTGCTTAGCAAGCGTTTGAGCTCAAATTCCTTTTTATATAAAATATAAAATTTCGTTTAAAGCATCTTTATTTGTGGCAGCAAAATATTGATCCACTTGATCATTAAACGCCACTTTTTACACATACGCGAATGTGTAAAATTACATTTACGCGAAATCGATGTCACTTAGCTGCCAGTTTCAACTTATTTACAGCGCCATCTTTTAAACTAGTAACGAAATATCATCAGATTTCATGCAATTTCGTGCAATTTCATGCAATTCATGCAAAAAGTTAGTTTCGACAATTTTGTCAGATACCATTTACACCCGAATCCTTCAAATACAACATATTTTTATTTTAGGAACTTCAGGATTATTACAACATATCTGTAGAATTCACAGCTTACCTTTTATTACCTCTAAACAGATTATCAAAATATGTTCTATTTTTGAAAGATATTTTAAAACAGTTAAAGAAACTGAAGAGACCTACCGAAGTTTGTCAAATTGCGTTGGACATAGTTCAAACTCAAATGCGCAATGGAAATGATGGAATAGCAATTGACTCAATTAAAAATTGTCCACTGGAAAGAACGGATTATGGTTCTTTTAAGCAAAGGGAGAGGTTTACGATTTCTAACAAAAATAAAAAAGAAATGTTTGTTTTTCTATTTGAAAACGTTGTGGTTTTTACTACAGCTGATCCGGTAAGTATTTACTGATTACTTTTTGACGCATTTTGTAATATGTCTTATTTTGTGGCTTTCTAAAGGTTGTATTAAAAATATGGAAAAATCTGCAAAAAAATCTTTTCAGAAAAGTAAGATTTTCTTTATCTTAAAAAAAATGCAGCTCTGGCCTTCTCTATATATATTTTAATTTATTTGGTCATGTTTTAGTTCACATTTAGATTGCAACAAAAATAAGTGAAACCGTCGGTTTTCTCGAGCGTTTCTTCATAAGCCGTTACCACTTCTGGTTGTATTGATGTTTTACTGACAACCATCACCTTTGTCTTTGTCGTGTCTAGCTTCAGTCCATTTTCATCACACGTTATGGTAATCCTATTAATTAGATGTTAAAGTTCTTTGTAACTATTTGCAATTAACACCGTGTCAACCGCTTACCTCAAATAATCAATATTGATGCCATTAATTTTGATACCACATTGAACACTATCCAATGCTTTATTAAAAACGAACTCCGAATAAATGTTATATATCAGTGGAAACAATGCAGCCCTGTCTTAGTCCTTCGTATTTGAAGCTCTTCAAAATTATTCTGACCAGTCCTGATATTTACACGTTGATATCAGTAAAAATTTTTAATGATACGTAGGTCTTTATTAATGATACCACCTGCTAAATGATGGCTATCATTTTAATATGTTTTACTCGATCAAAGACCTCCTCAAAGTCAATAAAACACATATAAACTGGATGGCCGACATCTTTGTATCTCGTTACCATAACCTGAATACTAAGTAGTGCTTCTCTGATTTCAAGGTTATTTCGAAACCCAAACTGCGTCTTACTAAGCTGTTCTCCTATTTTTTGGTATATCGTTGAGTGCAAAATTCGAAGAAATATGTTTAAAATATGGCTCATTAAGCTGATGATTTGGTAGTCACTACTTCTTTTTGAATTTGTTCTTTAAGGTATTATTACTACAGTCGACCACAGCCAACCCGTTGGTATATAGCCAGTTTCATAAATTTTATTAAAAAGATGAAGAAAAGATCTTTTACCTTAACCTTCGAAGAGCTTTATTATTTCACTGGTTATTTTATCCGGCTTATTTGCTAATTTTATTACTCATCGTCCATAGTTAATAGGTCCTCTTATTACTTCCTTAATTTCAAGCTTGGGCCTTACATAATTAAACAGTTCCTTTATGTACTCTGTACATCTGCCTATTTTATCCAAATAAGTGATAATCAGTTTGACGTCTCTATAATCGATGTTACCTACTAAAATAAATCGTAGTAAACGTAAACGGCTCATGTGCATACGAACTATTTTACCGCCTGCTCTTCAGAATACTGTAATTTTTCATATTATCATAGTCTGTAAGGACCAGAGTTCTTATTCCAAAAAAAATCCAACGGATTCGAAACTACGAGAAATTTGTGCGGAACAGCATATAAAAAACGTGAAGGCATCGTATAGATTAGTATTCAATACATGGTTAAAGTTACTATTTCACAAGACTTAGGTGACAAATGTACCTACTAACTATAACAATTTTTTCTTTGTACAGTCCTATCAGGGAAAGTGAACTAGTACCTGGTTAGGGTTCTTTGTCCAGGGTTACGGATCAACGTCAATCACGGCGGAGAAAGATACCTTCGGTTCGACGAGAATGGCGGAAGTGGCGACCCCAGATCTTAGGGCTAGTATAAAGTCAATATTGCATAAACGATCGCCGGTATAAGCGATTCCACTCACCTTGCCAACGGTCCCTGGATAGAGGGCGGATGAGCATACGTGAGACAGGGCACTCTTTTGTCCTCAGGGTGGGAAACTGTCTCTAAAAGGCGGATGAATGGATGTCAACGGTATAACAATACGGAAGGCAATGGGAAACCACCGTATTAATGATCTCTAAGGATATCCCAAGAAAGACAAGGATGGAAAAGTCACTGCAAGCAACGGCCCCTAGTCCGTGGCAGGCCTTAAGTGACCAAGGGGTGCTAAGAATCTCTGCGAAGATAAACAATGCTAGGAATCACCCGAAAGTGGGAAAACCCCAAAGCTAAAACTGGGTACGTGGAACGTTAAAAGTCTTTAGACCGCCGGTAAACTAGACAATATAATACAAGAAATGGAACGATGCGACCTAGACATTATAGGACTTAACGAAATCTGATGGCCCAACAGTGGTATATGTACTTAAGAAAAAGCGACAAAATATTACTCAGGAAATAACATACCCCATCATTATAACGGAGTTGGATTTCTAGTTAACACAGCCTCAAACAAATCAGTAAGGAACTTCGTGGCATACTCAGATAGGGCAGTACTATACAAGTCCAAGCTGATCCTGTTGACCTTAACAATATACAAATCTATGCACCAACCTTGGACAAGCCTGAAAATGAAGCAAAACAACGCTGAGTTTTTTTACAAGGTTCCATGCTATTTTGCTACTACGTGTCATGTCCATTTTTTCCAGGGTCCCAATCCACTTTTTCTGTCTGGCTTGACTTAGCTGTTGGAGTAGTACTGCTCCACAGTCAACCGTTTCTTTGCTAAAATGGTCAGTATAATAGAGGGTTTCGTATGTTCTCATTAGTTCTTTGGACTCGCTGGACATCCCGGGAACATATTGTTGTCTACATCCTCTAGGGATAGTTTTTCTAGATACATTCTTGAGTACATCTACGAATTTTTCGTAGTTCTCTACTTTTGGTTCAAGGCGTAGTAGTTCAAAATCTAGCATGTCTGCATACTTTTGCCAGTTGCCTTTTTGAAGTTAAATCTCCTTCTGAATGGAATAGCTTGTGGTCTGACAATTGGGAAGATATTTATACCAATTGGTCTATGCTGAGTTTTTGGTATGGGGCCATATACTACTTTAATACATCAGTCTTCGAGGTTGTTGCTTGAAAAACAGATATCCGGGTTATATCCTCTTTTCCAAACTTTGCTATGAAAAGATGATGGAAGTTTAGGATCATGGATTAACGTGAGGCCACTCGTTTCGGCCCATGCTTCTACTTCGTCTCTATTTGCGTCCGAATCTACATAGCCCCAGAGTAAACTGTGACTGTTAAAGTCTCCCAGTACAAGCTGATTGGCTCGTGATTGAAAATTAGTTGAGACTAAAAATATAAAAAACAGATTTGGGGGCTTGTATACCGAGGTTATTGTACATTTTCCGATCTCAGTGGTTATTATCTCTATACCGTGTACATTTGTTGTTTCCACAGATGAGACAATGGTTTGAGTTCTCACAAATACCGCGCTCTCATGCTTATTGTGTGGTATCTCCGCAATCAGTTTCATACCAGAGACTTTCGGTCTCGCTGCAGTTAGGTCTCTGTGAGTTTTCTGGATGCACAATATCTCACATTTCGTGTTGTTGCAGAATTCTGATAAGATCTCTTGTTTGGCTGTAGTGATGCCTTCGATATCTAAAGACTAGATATCTAAGGACTAGAATCTAAATCATATTTCTCAATCGAAAAAGGTGTACGACAAGGTTGTGTTCTGTCAACCCTCCTTTTTAATCTTTACTCTGAAACGACTTTCGATAGAGCCTTAAATGACACTGAAGATGAAATCAAAATTAATGGAGAGACTATTAGTAACCTTCGCTATGCTGATAATACAGTTATAATAGCTGATAGCTAGGAAGCGCTACAATGACTAATACATAGAATAAACACTTAAGGAGAACGACTGGGCTTGAAGATTAATATAGACAAGACAAAGGTAATGGTGGTTATTAGAACATGAAATATGCAATTAAATATAAGAGTAAACAATAAGAACATCCAAAAGGTTCCCAAGTTCAGATATCTCGGTAATTGGATAAATGAAGATCTAGATCCAGAAATAGAAATACGTAATAAGATTGAGCAAGCCATAGCAGCATTTATTAATATGAGAACCTTGCTAAGCAACAGCAGCCCTAACTTAACGCTTCGAATTCGCTTTGTAAAATGTTACATTTACTCCATACTGCTATATGGTGTAGAAACCTAGACGAGAAAGGCCAATGTGATGAAGCGATTGGAGGCCTTTGAAATGTGGGTATTTATAACAATATTTAAAATTCCCTGGACAAATCACACAACAAATGTCGAAGTAATAAACCGAATGGGCAGAAAACGAAAATTTCTGCCAATAATAAAAAGAAGATCTGCTTATCTGGGTCATATATTTCGAAATTCCAAGTACCAGTTCTTAAAGATTATTATGAAAGGGAAGATAGAAGGAAAACGGGGCATCGGAAGAAAGAAGTACTCATACCTTAAAAACATAAGGGATTGGACAAACCTCGATGCCCATGCACTCTTTAGAGCCACACAAAATCGAGAGGAGTATACCAGAATTGTCGCCAACATCCACTAATTGAATAGGGCACCATAAGAAAAAGAGATACAATTTAAAACTACAAATTACACTGGAGAAAGGCTTAGAAAGTCACTAACGCTAAAAAGTTTAATGTAGAAAGGAATAAGATTGTTTACGATAATCTGGTTATTTATTTTGATTTACAGTAAACACTTCTAACACAACTGTTGACTATATTTAAAGTATTGTATTTTATCTTAATCTATTATGAACATACATAAGAAATGCTTTGAAAAGAAAAGAGAAAAAAAGAGAGCGTATAGAAATTTGGAACGGGCAAGTATGTTGCTGAAAAGTATACCGTTCTCCTCGTAAGAAGTGCCCGACAGTGCTTGAATCTATCCGTTTGTCCCTTAGCAGCTTTAAGTTTGTTAATGAATGATTGTGTATTTAGCATTTAAAGTCTATTCTATTCTGTACAATAGAACATGCTAAATGTAACATTCAAGCATCTTGCTTCATAGGATGAAATCCAATCTGCCATCAGTCTGAACAAGAAAGTTTCTCTGGCTCCTTTTATCCTACTCTATATTTCTGTCTAAGGATCCTAACTATATTTTATCTGACAATAAAAATATGTACACTAGACTTATCCAAAATTTATTTAATTTTAGTATGAGTTGGAAACATTTAACTATGAAAGTAGTATCAATATGAAGGACTTGTCAATGTCATCAGTAAAAGATTTAACTATAACTCTAAAAGACTTTGAGAAATGTAAAGGTAATAAAGATCCCAAAGAATTTACTTATATTTTAGAAGCAAAAAATATAAACATCTGGAATATTTGGAAAAGGGATCTTGAAATTATGTTATGGGAACAACTTTCGGATGCTAAAGGTATAACATTTGTATTAATAATATCTAAACATGTTTTGCTGTTTTAGAATCTTTTATGCTAGAAGATGATATTATAATAAATTAATGTTTTCTATTTCAATTTTTTGTTTTTCTTTATATATGTAACCTTTCTGTGCTTACTATTTTTAGCTACAACTCCAACCCTTAATTCCTGTGTGAGTTTAATAGATATTAATACGCTTAAGGTAAGAAAAACCTTGTAAAAGTAGTTGTTATTTTTTTACTCTTTTTTTTTTAAATCTATTCATTTAAATTACTATAAACCAAATAATAGAACGAATGAAGAGCAGTAAAAAAAACAAGATGTGAGCAAATTTTTTAGTGTACACTGTTTTATGGATTAAAAAGAAAAAAAATTAGACGTAATTGGTCCCTTGCAGCAGTCATTTTTTTTACATATATGCTGAATTTGTAGATCTAAATGTGAGAAGAAATAGTAAAAGCCACTTACAAAACAAATACGCCTAGTATAAGAACAAAATTGGAACAATGAACCTATTTAGAAATGTGAGATACATAGAAAGACGCTTGAAAGCCAGAACTTGGACCGATGAAGACTCCGAACGAAACCTGAAAAAAGAGAAGTAATAGCAGAGATGTAATGTCATGAGCTACATAAAGACGACTAACAGCAGGATTTTTTTCATCAGTACATGATGATGAAAAAACCTGATATACCAGAAATCGAAGAAAGATGAGCAGTCAATAAACTAAACAACGCACCAAGTTCAGATTTGATCACAGCAGAAATGGTTAACTTTTGCATTACTACCCAGCAAAAATTGTCTTATTTTACTACCCGGGCTACAGGTGTACCTCAAATATAAAACACCTGTTTGCAAAAAATCAAATATATTTAGAATATACAAATTATATGCAATAATTTCACTTTATTAAACACATTTATTAATTATTAGTTTTAGCTGGGCCCACTTTTGACTGATGGTTTAGACATCAATGTATTTTTACACTTCTTGCACGTTATCATCGATTTTCAGGCTTGTTTGTGTACAAAAAGCTAATCTCCCGGAAGAAGATTGCCTTTGGTCTACATTAGGTACTTCAGGCTTGATATGCAATTTTTTTCTATGACAGCTCGGAGTTTTTTTGACAAAGTTTGGATTCCTAGACACAAGTTTGGAAGAAAAACAAGAACTATTTTAAAAAAGTTTAGTTATAAAATTCTAAGGTTTTATTCAATAATACCAATAAAACAAAATCAGTTACGTTTATCTATGTATTCTAAAAGAGTCAACCTCTAAAAAATGAAAATAGAGACATCAGAAAGTTTTTATTATCACTCGGGTCAAAAAATTCACGCAAAATGAATAAACAAATATATACAAGACAGAAAAAAAAAAGGGAAAAAAGAAGAGTACCAGACTTGACAGTATTGCTTAAAAAACTGCTATTCGGATCGTTTGCTAAAGACGTACTAAAGATGTACGGCACAAAAAGTTTGCAATAGTCTACAATAAATGTTTCAAAGCTGAGATCTAAAACTTTAAGGGAAGCCAAATTGAAAATGTAGAGATGAAATCTTAAGAAAAGCTAAACAAAAGATATAGCAGAAGGGAAGTTAATGATAATGATAATTAATACATTAAATTTTACTTAAAATTGCGTTATATTGGACCAATTTTAATTAAAATTTTTTATTTGGCTTTTTTTTACAGTTTCTAATAATGTTATCAACTTAATCTAGTAGAAAATTTCTATTTTCAGGCAATGTCAGATAAAAAAGAAAATAAAGATAAAAAAGAACAACCAACGGATAATTTGTCATGCTCTGATGCAAACTCAATTCTTGGCAGTCCTATAAACAAGAGTGAATTTGGATATTTTAAAGCGAAAGCAAAATTTCTATTAACTAAACCTGTTAAACAAGATGTAGTGGTCTTATTATTCGAGAATTATGTTATAATTACTTTTGAGGATGCGGTAAGTATTACAACAATTTTTAATTCTTACTTCTACTAAGTGCTTTTCATGCATAAAGGGTTTTATTTCAAATAGGACTATATGGAGAAAAGGAGTACCGTTACCAACAGGGTAAAATCTAGTATACAGATAGATCAAAAACTACATACGATGTGGGAAAAGAAATATACTTCTATAATCCAAGAATTAGCGAAATCTTTTAAAAAGGAGCAGATTCATATACTGTCTGACAGTTAAACAGCACTGAAGGCACTGGCGTGTCCGGAAATGAAATCCAAGTTGGTGTAGGACTGCACTAAAGAACTGAATAAACTGAGAGACTGGAACACGGTTATGTTGGTCCGGAAAACGTGGAAAAGAGGATTAAATAAATCAATAAAACTAGCTGTAACTCTGATAGTACCAACGGCTGCAGTTCGTAGGGTTGTAGAGCACTATAAAGAGTCTTGAGCGATATTGGGAGAGAATCCCAAAACAAACACATGAAAAATCCTCAGTGGAGGACTATGTAGAAAAAGAATAGAGGTACTGCTTTATATTGGCAGGTATAAAATAACAGTAACAGGAATGTTGACCAAGCATACTTCACTAAGAGAATTTCGGAATAAAATATACATTTACAATGAAGACCTTAACTGCAGACTTCACGTCATGAAGTAAAAATAATTGCTGGGGACATTAATGCAAAAATTGGCAAGGAACAATTTTTTAATCCAACTACAGGATGTGAGAGCTTACGTAAAGAGTCAAATGATAACAGGTTGAGACTAATTAATTTTACAAGCACCAAAAACCTAATAGTAGAAGGAACAAGATTTCCCCATAAAATTATAAATAACGGATTTGACCTCATGGATATTAGAAGCTATCAAAGTCCAAACATAGATAGCGGCCACAGCAAGACGTTACCTAGATGAGGAATATCGTGGTAGATGAATTGGATAACGAGGTTCTATAGAATGGCCCGCTCGGTCACCGGATCTTAGAACATTAGATTTTTTCTGTCGGGTGCAGCACCAAAAAATATTGACAGTTTGGAATAACGAATTGTTAAAGAATGTACGGTAATTTCTCCCTACACACCAAAACCAGTGCAAAAAGAATTTCTCAATAGGTTGCATTATTCAGAAAGTAGATGGAGTATATTTGAAACACTTAATATAAGAACTGGTTTTTAAATCTTTATTAATTAAATGCGAAACTACTACTAATTTATTCATTAAAATCAGCTTAAACACAAACCAAATAAGTACGGTTGATTATTATGTTACCTGTTATGACTAGTTAAGAAGCTTTTTTTCTGTTTATGTCCTCCTTCCAAATTTCACTACTAGAACTATAAATGTTCATAATATGGGAGTGCACGGTACTTTTGGCTAGCACTGTAGAGAGAAAAAAGACTAGCCTCGTACGAATACATCAGAAAAGCGGTTTAATACGCTAGATAAACGAAACCATAGAATGGATTACGACATACAAAAGAAAACCCCCAAGAACGTTAAGAGATTAAGTAGACAAGGCGATGAGAAGGAGGAACCTGTCAATACCTAAAGATAAAGAATTACTGAATAGAAACAGATAGACAAAATGGCCGTAAAAAACTTAGTAGAAGTAGTATATTCAATAATGATTCATATAACCTATATCTATCGTAAAGTTAGTTGTGAATTATCCAATTAAAAACAACAATTTCACTTTAAATAAATCTTTTTTAATTTGTTTCAGACTAACACAAATTGTTATCATTACTACAATAGCATAAAAATGACCAATTTACTGATGACTTACGCGGATGATAATATAATACAGTTAATAGATTTTGCTAAAAGTAAAGAGAAAGATGTAACCTCGAATTGTACGTTTGTTATAAAAGCATTAAATACAGTAACGTGGGAATTGTGGAAGAAAATGCTGGGTAGTTTGTTATTGGATCAATTTTTTCAAAATAGAGGTACGTTCGCCTATATAAAATTGCGTCCAGTGAAATATGTCACGATCACATGAACCACCTAAATATATCATATTTATATACGTTCTTTATTTTCGAAATTGAATATTTCCCTAATCCTAGTTTATAGTACTGTTCAATTTGTTTAGCTCAACAGACATTTAAGCCATAGGGCTTAGAAGCTACAATCATACAATTATTGTTTTATCAAAATCCACAAATTTTACGAAAAAAAAAGGTTAACCCGAATCATTACTACAAACTCTGTCAAATTATGTTATGATTTTGATAATTAAAGCATTGTGGATAAAATTTAAACTCATCAAAGGAAATTTTTTCCTTAGTATTTTTTGCAACATGGATGACAAAAAATTATACCTGCATTTTAAAAGTAAATTCCATATAAATACATGTAGAAAATTTAAAACCTAAGTTTCTGCAAATCCATAAAGAATTGGATATAACAAATAAAAAAGTAAAGACAAAAATCAAAAATATATTATGAAAAACAATTTTAATTATAAATACGTTGTATTTGACGTTCTTATAAAATTTCTAAAAAGTAGAAATCTAAACTTTAAGTGTGTTTTTAATTAGAATTGTGGTTTATTTCCGTTAAAGAGAGTGGATAAATAGAAATTAAGGTACAGTAAATGAAGGTCACAATCAACTATTTCCTCCGATTTCGGTGATCCTCCATCGATTTGCATGAAACTTTGGGATTGAGTATATTTTACCTTTAACTTCAAAAGTGACATGCTCAACTTAAGCTTTTTGTATTTTAGGGGTGAAATTCACCCTTTTGTTAAAAATGGTAAAAAATGCAGATTTAAGCATTCTGGCATAAGTAATCTCGATTAATTAAATAAAATATATATTTTGCAATATTTGTAAGCATGATTTATAATTTTAATTAATTTTTCAACCCTTTTAGCAACTATCCCTTAAATCGAAAATCATGAAAAAATCATTTTTTATACTTCTGAAATATCAAATCGGTAATAATATTACCTAAATAGTTTCTTTAATGATGTTCATAGATTTTAAACAAGCATTTGATAGAGTATGTAGGGACAGACTGTGGACAGCGATGCAGGAACTTGACTTTCCAAAAAAACTAGTCCGGTTGATACGGATGTGTATGGAACGGTTACGATGTAAGGTGAGAGATGGACAACAATACTCGGAGACATTTGAAATAAACAATGGACTAAAACAGGGAGATGCACTTTCACCACAACTCTTCAACTTAGCTCTGGAGCACATAATCAGAAGTGCAAGAATCGAAAAACCGAATACAGTATTTCATCGAGAAGGACCAAACTTACTACTGGCATTTGCAGACGATATAGATCTAATAGGAAACACGCGATTAAGGATGAAGGAGACTTTCGTAAGGTTTGAGAAGGAAGCAGAGAAGATGGGGCTCCAAATCAACGAAAACAAGACGAAATATATGTATATGAGCCGCAATAACCAAAGCAGAGACAGAATCGGTCAGAACATTACCATCGATGACTTTAACTTTGAGCGCGTTAGAGAATTCAAGTATCTTGGAACAACAATAACTGAAGACAATAACGGATCACAAGAAATAAACAACAGGATTCAGGCCGGCAACAGATGTATTTTTGCCCTCCAAAACCTTATAAAATCAAAACAACTAACACGACGTACGAAGATACAGGTCTATAAAACAATCATACGACCCGTTGTGATGTATGGAAGCGAAACGTGGACGATAACAAAGGCAAATGAAGAGAGACTACGTGTTTGGGAAAGAAAAATCCTAAGGAAGATCTTTGGTCCGGTGCTTGATGAAGCATCAGGACAATATAGGATAAGAACTAATAAAGAGCTTGAAGAACTTTACCCAGACGCCAACATCATAAAAGAAATAAAGTCCAGAAGACTCCAATGGTCAGGACACCTCAGAAGACATTCTGACGAACGAACAGTAAGACTGGTGTGGGAGGAAGTCCCAACTGGAAGGAGACCACGCGGACGCCCTCGTCTCCGGTGGCGAGATAATATAGCAGGAGACCTAAGCACTATGGGCGTGGAGAATTGGATGGAGGTTGCTCAAGACAGAAAACAGTGGAGGCATGTTGTCGAGTCGGCTAAAACCCTCGAAGGGTTGTAACGCCACGGAGTAAGTAAGTAAGTTTCTTTAATGTTTATGATATAATTTTTGATTGACTGTGAAATTTCAACCGTTAAAAACCACCCCTTAAAGCAAAATCATTGAAAAAATTAATTTCAAGAAACTTTAATTATTTTAATAATACATTACTGAATTGATATCTAATTTACTGAGTATTAAAGTATTTATTTATTTATTGCGTAATTTTGCACCCCTTAAAACTATCCTTGTCATAAAAATAATGAAAAATGTTTTTTTATTAGCTTTAATAGCTTTATTTATTTAGAAACTTTTTTATTGGTTATAATAAACTTTATTAATATTATTCTTTATACATTTCCTGAACAATTTTTTCTGGGCTTGTGTGACTTATAAAAATTTAATTTGTTTGTTAAGAAGAAAAAGTATTAAAATAAATATTAAAATATATGAAAAGTTCATTCAGTTTTTATTTAGGTAATGTTTCAGAAATTAGTCAAATATTAATAGTACTTTAATTGTTAATTTTTCATTCTTCATTAGAGCTCTCTTCACCAATTTCTCCTTTTTCATTGTCCTCACTGCATGATCCGCAGACTGGATTGCAAAATAACCCTACTCTTCGGCACCCGCAAGAAGCGCCACACTCTTTTTTGCAGTTGCAAAAAATTATTTTTAACAATTCTTCTGGTGCAGGTGGATTGGGATTTTTAGTTTGAAACAAAGACTCTTCAATTTTGCACCATCCCCAGTTAACCGAACAAATTTCTTTGTTTCCAAGCGATATCTGGGTTTGTAAATAAACTCTTTTAATGTGTTCATCCAATGCAGCAACCGTTGGGACCAGAAAGAACTTTTTTTTTTATTTAGAAATTACAGCCGCATCCACCATAATGGTTATTAGCGGCGGCTACAGAATTACAAAATTAGAGTTTATAAAATAGTCCTATAGATTTTAAGAACTTTACAATATTACTAGCTGAGAAATTAGTGCCTAATAAATTACTTAAACTCTTAGGTATGTTAAATGTAACACGAAAATTGGCAAATCTATGGCATTCAATTAATAAATGGTTAATGGTTAATTGTACATTACATGTTTCGCAAATAGGTGGATCACTTTTGGTAAATAAGTATGAGTGAGTAAGTCTCGTGTGTCCAATTCGTAATCTCGTTATCACCAATTGTTCTCTTCTGTTCCTTGTTGAGGGTTTCCAAGCTGCAACGTCATTTTTAATTTGCTTCAGTGATGTTTGAGAAGATTGCCATTCGTTTTTCCACTTGCACAAAACTCGATTCTTTATAAAGGCTTTTATATCACTCGCGGTATTTCGATACTCGGCTTTTTCTATATTGGCACATTTAGCAATTTCACTCGCGCACTGGTCCGCACTTTCGTTGCCAGCAATGCCAATGTGGGATGGAATCCATATAAATCTGATACTCCTAGAATTTTCTTGAGCTTGCATAAGTTCTAGTTTTATCAGTTTCTCAAGGGGACCTTTAGGATAGATCTGTTTAAGGGTTTGAAGGGCGCTTAGTGAGTCACTTAAGATAACAAAGTTAGGAATGTTATTAGAATTTATATGTATGATAGCTTTAAACACTGCATAGAGTTCAGCGGAGAAAATCGAAAAGAAGGTTGGAAGACGAAATTGATATGTATCGTTTGGAGTAACGAATGCAGCATCTACTCGTTTATCACACTTAGATGCATCTGTAAATATTTTATAGCAATGTTCGTAATGCTGACGGAGAATTAGATCTAGATTGGGAAGTCGATGGAAAAATCCATCTATATTCCATTGCAGTAGTTTAGTGAATTATATTATATAAGAAAAAATATGAATTTACGGGTTAAACTGAGATGACTCGCCCTCGGATTCAGAGATGTCGTTACGAAAGTGTTGCAGGATTTTCTTTCTTAAGAAGGTGATATGACGTTTGGTTGACCTATCTTTTAATAGTGGATGAACTTTAGTTAGCATACGAACTAATCCCACAAGGTCAGAAGTAAACTCTTGAATTATGTTAGAAGGATCCTGCACGCCGCTAACATTGCTTAGAATAGATTTAATTGGTCAAAATTGAGGACAAATGTGGGTAGATGATTTTGGATAAAATCTTTGGCAGGCTCAAGGTCATATGATTTTGTTGATTTTATGCATGTATGCTCCTCATTGCTTTTAACTTTCTTGACTCTAGGTTTAGATGTAGGTACAGCAAATGATATATGACGTAAGAACATCATTGATACTACGTTTCGGCTGGAGATCGATATTAATTACTTTGCAGCTTTTCATGGTGTTAACTTCTTTTTGACCATTAGCAATGTTAGGATTGCTCAGATTGTTTGCTAATTTTCCTTGGACGGACATTTGTTCGTTTGATATGGATGTTGCTGCAGGTTGAGGCATGATGTCAGGGGAGGAAGAAGTAGTAGATTGACTGTTATTAGAATCAATTAAGTTTGTTGTTGATTCTAGTTTATCAGGACAGTTGGTGGCGATATGACCAGAATTTTTGCAGTTATAACAGGCCATAGTTTCTTGAGATAAGAATATTCGATATGTTGTATTATCAAAGTCTAAGGTGAATGAGTCGGGTAAGGAGATATTATGGGGACTGACGTATACTTGTCTTCTGAAACTTAAAATATGTTTATATTCGGAAAGAGTGGAACTGATTTTTAGAAAAGTGACAGGAGAGACCATAAGTCCAATACTTTATAGATATTCAACTATCAGACTGTGTGGTATTGTTGGACATACGTTTGAAAAAACAATACGTGTTACTGGTGAGATTAATCTTCTAGCTTGTACAATATTGTTTTGGATTTCTATTTGTCCATGATTTTGCATGAATTCATCCACGACTTGTTTGTTTGCAAGGTACATGCAAATCCGATTATTGGATAGTCGGGAGGAAAATATAATATTTTTGGGACCAATTAGGTTACCCAAAGGAATTAAGTAATCTTGCAGTCGCGTATTTTCTAAAGCGCTGAAAACAATTGCTTGATGTTTTGAGGGAAATTGTGTAGAAGCTGCTGATGAATAGGTTTTATTGGTATTTGTCTGTGATTGCAATACATGTGGTGTGTTAGAGAGACTCTGAATATTAGGTTCCATTTTTGATTTTAACACGGGACATGTGTTTAAAAATAATGCCGACCTGACTAGTAATCAAACAGGTAATAAAACTGGAATAATATTTCTTGAGTCGTATCTTATTGATAATTGTTAAATTAGAAATCAACAAAAAACTGGTTGATCACGTTATATTAATGAAAACTAATATGACGTGTTGACTTACTGGTATTTCATGCAATTGTCACTTAACGATTTATAAATAAACTGTTATAACTACTGCATAAAATTTGCAAATTTGTTGAGATCAAAACAAACACGCCTTTCGGTATCTCATTCAGGGCCGAACTCCAGAGAGAACTTTACTGCACCATTTTTAGTGGTATAATAGTGCCTTAATAAAGGACTCTTACGAATCTGTTCCAGATATGCTGATAGGTCTTAGATGGGTTGTAGTTTACCCATATTCACATCTTTTGCACTTCCGTACAATAATATTGTGCAGTACCTGCCAGCTTCTAAAATAGCATCAATATCAGCGGCTTTATTATAAATTATATCGATCTTCTCTCTCAAATCAGGTCTTTTGTCTAGAAGATCGATAATTTTTTTCTTCCCTTTATTATAAAAAGCAGAAGTCAAATCACATCTAGTCAAAAAATAAATCTCTTTATCAGCTTGATGTCTTCTGCTACTATAACTTTTGGCAAATTTGAGCCCTTATCCTCAATTGTTGTCTCTGCTATTAATTCGTCAGCTTCTCCTTTTTCTTGCTTTCATTTAATGGATTTTTTCTAGTTCCTCCATAAGATATGATATAAAAAGCCTCTTATTTTTATAATTACTTAAAAATTTGTCTTGACTAACAACTACAGTTATATATCTTTTGTAAACTTAAATTCTTTATAAATAACCTTTTGTGACCAACGATGCCTTTCTGCAACCTTATTACTATCTTCATCGTAAGAATCAAAATTAACAGTTACATTACTACCGAAATTTCTTTTTAAATAGGAAATATTATATTCCTCAAAGATCTTATTATAATAATTACAATTAATTGGCCACTTTACTCCGTAGAGTAGCATGCCTCCTCCAATTGTGTATATTTCCTATATACCAATTATGTATACATACAAAATCTCTACTCCAAAAATTTTTCTAAAAAAATGTAATTAATTTTTTACAATAACTCCGTTAATTTTTACGATATCAGGTTCATTCAAAAACCATTTGAAAAGTAATTTTAAGAACTATAAAGTCGTATTAAATTAAATTTTTGAAATTTTTTATTTTTTTAAAGATAAAAGGTAAAAGGGTCCCCTAAATTTTACTATTGCAGTAAAATTTAGATTTTAAACGTTTTTATCTCAGTTATTTTTATCCTAAAATAATATAAAATAAAGGAAAATCTTGGTTAAAAAAAAAACTTCAAATTTTGTTTTATATCATTTTTTAAGTATATTGAGTATATATTGTTATTCTCAAAAGAAAATGAAATTTATGAAAATTTGAAAAATTCTGATTTTTTTTAAATATGCATTCTAAATAGGTCACATTTTTTAAGGTCACTACTGATGCTAAAATAAAGAGAGTCTTATTCGCTCCGTGCGTGACCTTGGTAGGGGTACATTGAAACGACGCCAGTATGCATAGCGGCGAAATATGACAAAATTGGAATATTGGACAAAATATTTTTACGCATAAATTTTATCAAAAATGTGTGCAAATACATGTTGCGTATTTAATTGTGCTAATAATAGCAAAAACAGTGAGTGTAGTTTTTATAGGTTCCCAAAGATTACATATAAATTAGAGAAAAGAAAAAGATAAATTCCTGCTATTAATATGAAAAAGTAAATATCACATAATTTCATTTTTACGCAATTGAAATAGGAAAAATTTAAATAATTTACCTTGAATGATATTTCATAAGGCTTCAAGCTAACTGCAGATGACTTTAGCTTTTATATCATAACTTTTAATATTATTGTTTTTAATTATATGCTCTTTTGCGTAAAAAACTTGATTTGTCAGTACTAGATTTTTCCCTTTCTCTTACGTTTGGAGTTGAAAAGATATATTATGATGAATTTTGAGAAACCCAGTTTTTAATACTACATTTATTTTGTACATAAACTGAAAAAATATAGTTAAAAAACTAATTTATTAATAATTGTCAATTTCGCATGTATTTAACAATGTCAAACATATGTCATATGTTTAACCTGAAAATTGGGACTCCAAAATTGTCAGAAAAAGGCGGTAGGTGTCGTGTCAGTCACGCACGGAGCGAATAGGGATCTCTATAAATTTTAATTTTTGTGGAAATGGCGTATGTTTTATTTTTCACTTTTTCCAAAAAAAAAAAAATCTAAAGAATCCTCTTATTTTCATCATAGCTTGCTTAATTTTAATGCTATTAACTTCTTCTAGATCTCATTTTATATGTATTTCCGAGTACTTTGAAAATTGTATGATAAGTATATTTTATAAAATGCATTGGGCCGAAAAAAATATTTAATTACCATAACTCACTTTGAATTAATATGAAAAGGTTTTTTAAGTAAGGAGTTTATTCAATTTTTTATTAGCTTCAATTTTGGTAATGACAACGTTTTTATAAAAACTATTTTAATAGCTTTATAAGATAGATTTTGTTTAGGTTTGGTCCGTCTATCGATTACTGTCCGATTACTACCGTATCGAGTTATTTTTAACCAAATATTTTCCTCCCACAAGAAGGGGTGACATCCACCCCCAGGGTAAAAGCGCAAGTTAACATCATGTCACTTTTGTTTCTTAAGGTATCCTCTAACTACTCACCATGAAAATTAATGGAGGTTCAACGAAATCGGAGTGAAAACCTTCAGTGACTGTACTAATTGTAAATTATAAAAAACTAGATAGGGTCTGTAAAGATTACTTTACCTAGATCTACTTTTAAAAGAATTAATGTGTTCATTGTATACTATTTATTAACATATCAAATTCCCATCAATCTTTGTATATTACCGTGTCTGCTTTTTATACTTCTTATTTTTTATTATTAGATCAACCAGGTTCTACAGCTTCGACCCCAACTCGTAGCTTCTCGTTTTCAACCAATAGTCAAAATACAAAAGAGGAAAAACATAAACATAGTAAGTAGGCACAATATATATATATATATATATATATATATATATATATATATATATATATATATATATATATATACAGATTGAACCAAATTAAAACGGAACATACAATTTTACTGTTTGAACTGCATTTGAAATAGGGGACCAATATAAAACTTGGACAAAAATAAATCCATACCTGGGTATAGACATTGTATAAAATATCGTTCAACTATCTGTCTCGCAACAATGTTGTTGCGTAAGACGGGTTTGTCTAAGGAAGCAATAATAGTTCAGGAAATGAATCTCGAAAAAAGTTAAAACCTTGCAATTGTTTCGTCCTGCATGTATCCAGTTGAAATTTTAACAGAAGGTAGGTGATAGCCCAAGGATTAAAATCTATATCGAACCGAATTGCGCTGAAGGGTTTTAGGGGTGAAAACTACCCCTAATTGTCAAAAATTATAAAATACCATATTAAACCTGAATATGGGTAAGATTTGGTTTGAATTAGATAAATAATGATTATTTTATACTTTTGAATAGAGTTTCATCATATTTCAACCCTTAAAAAGCAACCCTTGTTAGAGATTAATGTAAAAATTACTAATTCTAAAAAAATGATTTCGCCTTGGATCGTTTTGGATAAAAATTTGGATTTAAGCTCAATTCACCCGCTGCTTTATAGCTTATGTTATGTCGACGATCCATGATTGTTCTTAGGGGTGAAAACTACCCCTAATTGTCAAAAATTGGAGATTAATATAAAAAAATTAGTGCTGCGAAGAAAATGATTTCACCTTGGAACGATTTGCATAAAAATTTGGAATTAAGCTCAACTCACCCTCTGCTTTATAGTTTATGTCATGCCGATAAATCCTGATTGTTCTTAGGGCTGAAAACTACCCCTAATTTTCAAAAATTGTAAAATAATATTACAAATCTTAAGATGAGTGAAATTTGGTTTGGATTAGTTAAATAGATTTTTTTATACTTTAAAATACAAATTCATACATTTTCAACCCTTAAAATTCAATTGTTATGAGTGCTATAGGTGAAAACAATTTTTTGCCAAAATTTTGCAACTTTTCAACTTTTGAAAATCACCCTTTACAACATTGAAGTTGTAAAGGGTGCAATTTATAAACTAATTTAATAGATATAAATTGAAAAAAGTAGAATTAATTACAAAAAAATTTATCAACATAAAAGGGCACCATATATTCTTATACATTTACATAAATAGTTAAAAATATTTACATTTATAGGTAAAACAATTATAATATTAATTTTATTCGTCATAAATTACATCTTCATCGTGATCTATGTCATCCTCATCTTCTTCAATTATTGGTGGACTGTTATTGCACCCTTCACCTGGGCACCCAGAACAAGTAGAGTTACAGTATAAACCAACTTTTCTGCACCCACATAAAACGCCGCATCCTTTTTTTGCATTGGCAAAAAATAATTTTCAAAAGTTCATCGGGTGCAGGTTGTTTGTTCATGCGTACGGGTAATAACAAACCATCTTTGGAATACCATCCCCAATCTATTGCTCTGATATTCTCATTGCCAAGCCATAGACATATGAGCAGATGTTTTATTCTGTTGTATGGGATTTCAAAATAAGAACGCATAAAATTCCGAATGTATAACGCCCCACTAGCTAATATACAGGTTTTGTAGATTATTATGCTCCGAAATGTACTGTACTATACTAATGGAATTTTCCGGAAAAAAATAACTGGTTTTTTTAACGTATTTCCTTTAATTTTTAACGATAGAGTGTTTCTTCAAAAACGATTTGTAGAGGTTTTTAAGAGCTACAAGGATCTGTGAATTAAATCTTTTTGGAACCCTTGGTTTTTAAATGGGATGAGTTTAAAGGGCTCGAAAAAGATGGTGCTTGATCGTAAATCGATGCTTTAAACGGCTATATCTCGCCAAATATTCATTGTACAACAAATCTAAATAAAGGATAATTTTAGTCATTAAAAAAGCTACAATTTGGTAATTTTTATTTTTTTTATATATTCAATATTTTCGGGCATATTTAAAAAAAGAACGGTAAAAAATAAGAAATTGTAAATCGTTTATCGCTTTAAGCTGTACTTTTTCTAAAACTAAGCATTTTAAATGGGTCAAACTTCTTGGACGTATTAACAATACATGTACAAAGGGAATTTCAGAAGGGTGAAAATCGATTTTAATTATGGAGGTGGTTAGAGGGTTGTTTTCATCGATTTTTTCGTAAAAAATGAGGTATTGACCTTATTTTCATCATAACCCACTCAATTGTTAAGCTAGAGTCTTTTTTTATGATAGGTCTATTTATGCTCTTTCAAAAAGGTTTTGTGAGTTTTCTTCCAAAAATGCATAATTTTCCCGATATTTGACTTTGAATCTTTCAAATTTGGTATTTGAAGAAAACCGCTGAACATTGATAGGCCGCATTTCGGTTCCTATTATATCGCAAAAAGATTTTAAAAAATGAATTGTATTTGTCTTTTTAAAAGCTACAAATTTGTTCTCTACAATTTTTTTGATAAAATGCACCATTTTCGAGTTATTCGCGAAAAATCGATTAAAACGTGGATTTTTTCGTCTAAAAGTTGTTACTTTCAATCGCGAATAACTTGAAAAATATCATTTTATAAAAAAAATGTATAGCACATTTTTTGTTTAGAATCACTTTTTTAATCGAAACCTGTAGTTAAAACGTAAAAAAAAATTTCACTCCGGAGATGGGGTGGCAATCACCCCCTAGGCTTTGGCGCACTTTGGTTCGATATAGATTTTGATCCTTAGGCTATTACCTACCTTGTGTAAAAATTCAAGTCAATCCACGCAGCACGAAAAAATTGCGAGGTGAAATGCTTCATTTCTTGGACTATAACTGGTTTGACAGCATAATAAAATCGTAGATTTATGTGTAGCTTTCAATTTTTATGAGTTCAGAATCCAGCAGCCCGCTGAAGTATGGGATTTTTATAATATATTTATTTGACAATCTTTTGTTGGCCAACCACCTACAGCAGAATTGAGCCGAAATACATTATATTCCTATGTTCCGAATTTATTTCGTTCAATCTGTATATATATATATATATATATACTTTGGAGGGTAACTTTCGGGAAAGCGTCAAAACAAGGATCAGCTAGAGATGGTATAAGCCAGCTTGGTGTAGAACTTTATTCTATATGTGAAATTTTCTTAGCGTCGTTACACACACTCTATTTATATATATATATATATATATATATATATATATATATATATATATAATATATATATATATATATATATATATATATATATATATATATCTTATTTTAAATTTTATTATGATGCAATACTTAATTGTTTTCCGAACCTGTTGCCAGTTGCAATGGGGGCTCCCGGCAAGCCGAATTATAAACGATAATATCGTTGATAGATAATCTAATTAGGTCATTTTGACCAGTTTAGTCTGTTTCTGCTGTAGATGTACACTAATTATTTCCTTGAGTGCAATGAGTACGCTCAAGGCGCAGAGTGCGCAGAACGTTTTAGCCCGAAAACGCTCTGTGATGTAGCCCAAAAGGGTTTTATATTATATACCTTTTATAAAGGATTTTAAATAATCTTATATTATATATATAATTCTTCTAGTTTCAAGTCCCATTCCAAGCCCACGATCAGCAACGAATGAGAAAGACAGAAATCTAGGAGACACTGACAGTGAGTAAAAAATATTAAAAAAATATTTGTTTGAATTTTTTGTGATTATTTGTATTTTATAATATTTTAGCTTACATGAATGTTTTAACAATACCCACTATACCATCAAGCACCATAAGTATAAAGGAAATTAAGTCAGAGTGTAAGTTACATTAATTTTAATGTTTATAGTATGAATTAGAAAAAATATCAAACTATATAAGCCCGGTGCGTGTAAAAGTTTATATTGTATCAATAACACTAGTGTTAATTAGCCGCATACTATTAAAATTGACGTGAGTTTAGTCAGCTAATTAAGTCAACGATCAAACTCAGAAAACATAGATTATGTGTAAAGAAAAGTGGGACTTTTAGCTTTGTATCTTTTAAAATGCAATGCAAAGTTTTTGTTAAAAACGTATTTTTGCTTATTTATCTATTGTATATTCAGTACATTCATTGGTTCTTGTTATAATATAAGTAATATAAATGTTTCAGTTGCAAGTCCGTTGCCAAATCCCCGTTCAACAAAAAGTGATAACGATAGAAAACTAGAAGAAGGTAAGTTATTTCCTTGTTTCATAGACAAAAAGTATAAAAGAAGTTCACCAGATTTTAACACGTTAAGCCTCATGTGCACCACACTGGTGCACAGCACATTTTTACCATAGGCCATGTATACCAATTTGGCCTCAGTATGTTATCGTGTTTAAGAGACTGTGTTCGCGTAAAGGGCGCCGTTTCTGTGTTGTTATATTACATTAGAAAGGTCTGGTCCATAGGAAACGAACATTTGTCTTGGTCCGGTAAAACCTGCCTCCAGTTTTGTAGGTTAGAATTTTTGTTGACATTTGTATTTTACTGTGGTTATATCGTATGTGATTATTGTATTTATTTCCTGTAGTATAGACGTAGTCATATTTTGAAATTGACATGAAATTTGTCGAATACTGGAAGAATTTTATTTCAGTAATTATAATATATGAGATTAGAACTCTTGTGCTGATTCTGCTTATCGAGAAAATGACAGTGATTAACTTTATTCGAGTAGTGATGAAGAAACTGGGCCCAGTAATCCTATTGATAAAGTGGTAATAGGTAACTGATTTTGCTCTCAGTACAGATTGGTGTCTTATTTGTTTTCTTACTTTATAGAAAGGGATGACAATGTAAGTGGACAAATAAAGAAACAAAAGTTGTATAACGAAGCAGATCCATCTAATTTAGTCAACAGAAGAAAAATTTTTACATAGACAATATTAATTTAAGAGCAGATAAAATAATGTAAAAAGAAATAGATGGCCCTAAAAACTATATAACTGTAAATTTACTGATAGTCCAGGATTAAACATTGACAAAGAGCAACTACGTACTAGCTAGAGCAACTACTAATGTATAATTGGGGTATAATTCAAGTAATTTAGTTAAACCCCAGTCAATGGGAGAACTAAAATTAATATGTAAAAGCGTTACTGAAGACCAACTGACCAACAGTGGGAGATGTGGAAATATAAAACTGTGGAGATGGTATATCTAAATTACGCAGAGGTATGGAGAGTGTAATTAACGCTAACTATAGATCAGTTGAACCTGAGCAAGCTAGTTTTGTAAATTGCTGAAGAATAAAATAGTAATGTTGATCAAAATATGAATTTAATAAATTCTTAATGAGTAGACTCTAAAGCTGCAATAAAATTTTTAAAAATAGGTTTAAATTTACTACAATTTTAATTAATTTGAGTATTAAGACAGTAAGAGTTTTCATTTGTTTCCTTTGTTATCGCTAAATCTTCCAATAAATCCAACTCCAAATAGATTTTTACTCTACTAATGTCATGTAAAATAGACGAATCAGTATTGATGTTAAAATTGTGTTTACTAGATAATAAGTGACCAAAACTTGAAAAGTTTGGTCTTTTCAAATGTTCTAAAATTCTAGTAGATAACTTTCTAGTGGTTCTACCTACATAAGAGGCATCACAATTATTACACTTTAATTTATAAATACCACTTTTGTCAAGTGTGTTCATCCTATCTTTGGTGTTGATTAAAAAGGAACCTAAAGTGTTGTATGACTTGAAGGCAATTTTGATGTTTTCAATTGTAGAAGTAAAAAGTTTAGATATTTTATTGGAAATTATACTAATATAAGTAAAGGAGAAATATCTGATCTTGTTTGAAACATTAGGTTGAAGAAATCATTGTGATGAATATGCAAGTTTTTCTGCAATTTTGAGTTTAGCTCTATTTAGAAGCTTATATATTTTATATTCTTCAATATTTATATATTTTTTAACTTATTATGATGGTTAAAATCGAAGGACGCAGAGGAATTGGTAGAAAGCAGGCCTCTTGGTAAAAGAATATCAGGGAGTGGACAGGAATAAAGAAAGCTGAGCAACTATTTAGAATAGCTCGAGACAGAGACAGTTTCGCCATGTTAATCGCCAACTTCAAGGGAACTTGATAGGGCACGTTAAGAAGAAGAGAAGCTTATAGATAATTTTGGGATCATAACCATTATTGAAAGCAAGTTGCTTGAGAGTATTAACTTCTAAATTAAAGTTATCATTAGAAAGTGGAAATTTGAGTAACCTATGAATATAACTATTGAAAGCAGCCATTTAATATTGGGTTAGATGATTAGATGTTTTATGTATAACATGATCTGTTTGGGTAGGTTTTCTGTAAATATTGTATTCTAGAGAATCTTTTTTACGAAATAAAGTCATATCCAAGAAGTTCAACTTATTGTCAGATTCGGGTTCCAATATAAAGAAGATGTTAGGATGGAGCTTATAAAAATCATCCAAAATCTGTAAAGCGCTATCTTGGGTTCCCTGTATGAGAGCTATACAATCATCAATATATCTTGACCAAAAAACTATTTTGCTGTTTTTGATAACAAATTTCTGTTCTAAGCTGTCTAAAAAAATGTCAGAAATATAATAATGGAGATGCCATTGCTAAACCGGTTGGTTGTTTATATATTTTTTGATTAAATTGGAAGACTACAGACCAATTGCGCTTCTCTCTGCCATCTACAAACTATTAGAGAGGCTTATATATAATAGAATCAATATAGAACTGTTCCAGGTGATCCCAGTAGAACAAGCGGAGAACGAAGCTGCGCGGACCAGGTAATGTCACTCACCACCTACATCGAAGCGGGTTTCCAAAGAAGACTTAAAACTTCAGCGGCATTTATTGATCTCTCGGCAGCTTACGATACAGTATGAAGAGAGGGCCTTATATACAAAATTCTCCGTGCAATCCCCTGTAAACAAATAGCACGTTTAATAGATAGCATGCTCAACGACCGAATGTTTCAAGTAGTGATGGGCACAGATATCAGCCCACCAAAGAAACTTAAGAATGGCCTACCACCGGGGGCAGTGCTATCTCCATTACTATTTAGCTTATATTTAGAAGACTTGCCAGAAACACAATCAAGAAAGTTCGGATACGCTGATGACTGGGCCCTCACTACACGATGCAGAACACTAGAAACATCTGAAGAAGTTCTGACGGCAGACTTATATATATTGAGCAAATATTTGCGCAAGTGGCGGCTTCAACCAAATGCATGCAAAACAGAAGTAAGTTGCTTTCACCTGAACAATAAACTTGCTGGAAAGGAACTCAACATACGGTTTGAAAATACCACACTTTCCCACAACAAAACACCGAAGTACCTGGGCGTAACACTAAACAGAACGCTATCATTTAAAGAGAATTTAACAAAAACTGCCCAAAAGTTGTGTACAAGAAATAACATTATACAGAAGCTCTGCGGTACCACCTGGGGAGCATCGGCTTCCACTCTCCGCTCTACTGCTTTAGCCCTTGTTTTCTCGACCACTGAATATTGTGCCCCAGTTTGGCTACACAGTCCACAGGTAAAAAGATCGACACTTAGCTGCACAGCACTATAAGGATGAAAGCTGGTACAATTAAATCAACTCCCACCCAATGGCTTCCAGTATTAAGTCACATTCCACCTCCACATTTAGGACGAGTTGACGCACTTACACGTGAATACAAAAAGATCATGAACAATATAAACCTGCCGATCCACCAAGATACCGAGGATGCACGAAATACCCGTCTACGTTCTAGAAAACCACCAATGAAAACGGCAAGAATGATACATGAGGAGTTCAACATCACGAATGCATGGTCCCAAGAATGGAATGCATGGCAAAATAACATGCCCTGCATTACTCACAAGCCACCAGGTTTTGATCTTCCACGTAAAACATGGTCCACTCTAAACAGGATCCGAACCAGACATGGCAGATGTGCATATATGCTACATAAATGGGGAAAGAATCCGTCTCCTCAATGTGACTGTGGAAAGAACCAAACGATCGACCACATTATTGAAGAATGTCCCTCAAAATCCTACAACGGTAGCCCTGAAGACTTCCTGTTTGCAACTTCAGAGTCAATTGATTATGTTAATACACTTGATGTTTGTTTGTAATTATTTAAAGTTTGTCATATACCTATATTACTAGTGTTTGTAATTTTGTTCTAACTGTGTTGTAATTGCCATACGATAAATAAATATATTGGAAGAATTCATGATCAAGACAGAATTAAAGCATAGTTAAGATAGCATCTTTGTCTTTTGATGATATGTTGCAATTAGAAGGTTGTGTACTAAACGTAATATTTTATCTCTTGCTACAGAAGTAAACAAATGGGAAATATCAAAAGTAACTATATGAAAACTTTCTTCTATTTTAATGTTATTCAAATTTTTTATTAGATCTAAAGAATTTGTAATGGAAAACTTAGGTTTAAAATTAGTGATAGTATGAATTGTGTTGTAAACAAACTCTGACAATATAGAAATTGGAGTGTTACGAAAACCCACAACAGGCCTTATGGGACAATTGTGTTTATTGATTTTTGATGAGGCAATGGTGCGTTTTCGTGGAAGGTTAAATTTACTTCAATATATACCTCGAAAAAGGCATAAATATGGGATCAAGCTATTTAAACTTTGTCTATCTAAAGGTTATACATATTCGGTGAAACTTTACTGGGAATAGAATACCATCAGAGAAATCCTTATCTTCTAGAGTAGTTATGGAAGTACTGTTAAAAAGTGAATGTAATAGAATATCATAATATGTATATTTATTGCAATATATTATATTTATGTATTACAAGCTATGTGGTACAACCTGGTGCACATGGTCTGAACTAAAACCAAAAACAAAAATTTTTATCCACAGAGCGTGTGCACCAAAAGTGACCACAATGTTTTTTTTTCTGGTTTTAATTGTCAGAACGTCAAATTGTTATGCACACACAAAAACTAATATAATTTTTATGTCGGAAGTACAATAAAATCCTTTAGTCCGATAAAAAAGAAGCGAATTTATGCTTAGGGCCTTGTTTATAGCGCTATTTTTTTAACTATGGTAACATTTTTAAACTGTGGTATACAGTCAACCACTAGGAATTTTCGCCTTCTATAAATTTACTATGCAATTAATAAAATTTGATTATTTACAGTAGTGTGTATTAGTATGAGCAAAATGAGGAGG